GTAGATAGATGGATAGATAGGTAGAGTCAGATTATAGATGGATGGATGGATGGATAGATAGTCAGATGATGGATGGATAGATAGTCAGATTATAGGTAGATAGCTAGATAGATGGATAGATAGTCAGATTATAGGTAGATAGATAGATGGATAGATAGTCAGATGATAGATAGATAGATAGATAGATAGAGTCAGATTATAGATGGATGGATGGATAGATAGTCAGATTATAGATGGATGGATATATAGTCAGATTATAGATGGATGGATGGATAGTCAGATTATAGATGGATGGATGATGGATGGATGGATACAGTCAGATTATAGATGGATGGATACAGTCAGATTATAGATGGATGGATGGATAGTCAGATTATAGATGGATGGATGGATAGATAGAGTCAGATTATAGATAGATAGATAGTCATATTATGGATGGATGGATAGATAGTCAGATTATGGATGGATGGATGGATAGATAGTCAGGTTATAGATAGATAGATAGTCAGATTATAGATGGATGGATAGAGTCAGATGATAGATAGATAGATAGATAGATAGATAGATAGATAGATAGATAGATTCATTTCTGAACTCTTAGCTGTGTGTGTGTTTCTGACTCAGATCAAGCTGTCAGACTTTGGCTTCTGCGCTCAGATCAGTAAAGATATCCCGAGGAGGAAGTCTCTGGTGGGAACGCCGTACTGGATGGCCCCGGAGGTCATCTCCAAATCACCGTATGGAACAGAGGTACAGCCGAACACCACAAAACAAACCAGCAGACGCCGCTGTGACTGTCAGATTAAACAAGGACTGCTGTGCTGAATCTGCAGGTGGACGTTTGGTCTCTGGGCATCATGCTGGTGGAGATGGTGGACGGAGAGCCTCCGTATTTCAGTGAGACGCCGGTGGCTGCCATGAAGCGTCTGAGAGACGAGCCGGCGCCCACCGTACGCAACGTTCATCAGGTACGAGGAAAACCTCCATTAATCACAGTGAGACACATGTACAGAATTACAGACAGTTAGACATTCTTACAAACATACACAAACATACAATAGTTTAATAAGACTGCATCTTCTGCATCAGACTTTGAACTACATAATATATAAATAATATTAAATTAACCGAAACATTACTTTACTGCAGGCTAAACCTAATGTCATGAATACAAAAAGAAAGAAAGAATGCGAAAAATAATTAGTCAACAAATTAAATGTGCAAATAATAAAGTCAAACACATAAATAAAATATAAAATAACACAAAATAAAATAATTGTCAAACTGATTTGAAGATATTTAGTTTGACATGCAATTATATGACATGAATAAATGAATAAGCCTGCATCTCAAAAGGTTTTGCCATACAGTTTTTTTAACTATATAAATACAAATAAATACAACAAATATTAATAATAATAAAAAATTAACTAAGCCATTGCTTTACAGTAAGCTAAACCTAGTATCATGAATATACAAAAGAAAACATGTGAAAAATAATTAGTCAACCAATTTAATCGGCCAAATAAAAAAAATACAATAAAATAAAAATACAAAGAAAATAATATACAAAATCTGCATCTCAAATGTGTTTTTAAACTCAAAACAATCCTTTGTCTGTCATATGTGGAAGAAGAAAAAAAATGTGTTGTGGGTGGATGCTCTGTGTAGATAAGATAAAATAAACACTATTTAAAATAATTAATGATATAAATAAACACCATATAAAATAAATAGTAATATAAAGAAGTCACATTGTGGACAAACTGATACAAACATGTTTGAACTGGTGTCCAAATAAAATTTAAAATAAATAAAATAAAATAAACATCATATAAAATAAATAATAATATAAAGAAGTCACATTGTGCACAAACTGATACAAACATGTTTGAACTGGTGTCCAAATAAAATTTAAAATAAATAAAATAAAATAAACATCATATAAAATAATTAATAATATAAAGAAGTCACATTGTGGACAAACTGATACAAACATGATTGAACTGGTGTCCGTATCTGTTGAAAAATGTCCGTGTTTTGGTTGTAACAAGGCATTTGCAGGTCGTTGATGTGTTATTTTGTCCCGTTCGTCTGCAGGTGTCCCCGGTGCTGAAGGACTTCCTGAAGCGCATGCTGACGCGGGATCCGCTGGAGCGGGCCAGTGCCACAGACCTCCTGGAGCACCCCTTCCTCCTGCAGGCCAGCTCTCCGCAGTGCCTGGTGCCCCTGGTGGAGCAGTACCGCAAGCGCATGTCCCGCTGCTGAAGCCTCCGCTTTTCTGGCCTGTCGGAGTCACAAGCACCACGTTCCCCGGAGCAATCACGACTGAGATGGCTGTTTTATGAGAAATGAACTCTATAAAGCCATTTTCTTCTACCTGAGGACGTCTCATTGGTGCTTAAAAGGCGGTGAATCAGAGCAGAAGTGCGTCTGACTGAAATGCCACTGGGTTTTATGTTCTGTTCGAAGCGTGTTATCGTGACTCACATCGAATCTGTGGCCGCAGAGACCTGGAACAAGCCCCATTCATCAGTTTCATGAATGCTTGTGTTCGTATATATCGAATATTTTACAATGCTTTCATATAATGATCTCACTTTTGGTTTTTACTGCTGCAAAAACTTTATTATCGTTAACAATTTACAATAAGGTTCTATTAGTTAACATGAGCTAACACTAAAAATTCTTCTAACGCATTTATTCATCTTAGATGATGTCAACTTTAACATTAACTAATACATTATTAAATTGAAAAATGTATTTATTAACTATTAATATTAACAATGAACAGTTGTATTAACTGTTAACAATACTGTAATGTATTAAAATGCATTATGCATTGTAAAGCATCACCTTAATATTTATTATCTACAAACTGGAATTATATATTTCAATCGATTATATTAATTTAGTTGATGTGCATCAAAAAGTTTCAAATTTGGAATTCAAATTAAATTAAATTAAATTAAATTAAAAAAATAAAATAACAATTTTCAACAGTTTCAAATGAGGCCTCAGCTTCAGATTCTAATGTATTATATAAATTTAATTTAATTTAAAAATAACAAATTAAATTAAATTAAAAAATAAAATTTTCAACAGCTTCAAATGTGGCCTCGGCTTCAGATAATAATGTATTAAATTATATAAATTAAATGAAAATTAATTTGATTTAAAAATAAAATAGAAATAACACACCATATAATTAATCATATAAAGAATTAGTCTCCGTATCTGTTGAAAAACGTCCGTGTTTTGGTTGTAACAAGGCAGTGATGTAGTTAACCAACATTAACTAATTGAAACGTATTGTAAAGCATTACACTGATATTTATTTATCTACAATCTGCAGAATTACAATTTGTGTATGTATTTTTGCATAAATATCAACAGCTCCAAATGTGGCTCATCCAATCAGATTTTAAAATAAGTTGTTATTTTGAATTGAAATCTAAACCTTTTTGGGTTGAGTTTCCATAAAAAGATAAAAAAATATGGTCAAACATCAGAAATTTCTAATTAATTTCACAATTAAATTTAAAGAAATAGCAAGTAACTTTAAATCAAACATGACATTTTGAAGTCGAAGGACTGAAACAGTATTTTCTTGTAAAACGCACTCCAAAAATCCTCATTTTATTTACAATTTCAAAAAATCGTTGTACTGTTACTGTGATATAAAATTACTTGCAGCATGTATTTGGTCACATTGCAAATCTGCACTTTAAACAACCAATGATGGTGTGTTACTTTCAGCTCTGTTTAACACATTTTACCAGTTTTGAATGCTAATATTTCATCCAGAATCAGCACAGAAAATGTGAATGTCCGCAGATTCGGACTGGGCTGGCTGAAAGAGAGATTTTACGCCACAGAAGGCACATATTTCACCTGTGCTTTTACAGCTCAAAAGACTGGCTTGCATGGCTAAACAGTGGCTTGAATCTTAAACTCAGGTACGAAAGCATTTCTTCAGAGAAGGCGGTGAAGCGATGTCGTTTGCTGGTAGCACTGACAGATGCGAAAGGTTTTTATGAGCCATTGTAACCAACTGTATATATTTTAATGACCGATTTAGTATTAGTTTTCAATGGATTGACGAGCACCTGCTTTTGGAAAGGGTGCTGTGAATGGTTTGTAAACCGTGTAAATATTGCATCTGCGCTTCATTCCTGATTTCTTAAACTGCTGATTTGACGGTCAGGCGTCAGAAGAACAAATAATGTACATAATCAGAGTGAGAAACGACCCATATTTGCATTTGTTTGATTATGAGAGAGGAAAGGAAAAGTCTGTTTGTTGGTGTGCGTGTGTGTGTGTTTACATTTTGGATGCAGCGTTCATTGTGATATTCTTGCATCCTATTGGACTGTGATGTTTCCTAAATGATCACACTGACAGATTAAAAGAGAGCAAGAGAGATGTCGGTTTGTGTTTGGGGCCGTTCACACTGGAAACATGTTGTCACACTATTTTTAAGTGTACACGTATGTAAAATGAAGATCATTTAATTGCTATTTTTGTCAGCGTAAAATGAGCAGTTTTTGAAGAATCTTTACGCAGCTCTTTCCTATGGAAACTTGTTTTCGACCACAGGTTTAATTCTAAGCTTATATGTCGCAGTTCTGACTTTTTTTCTCCGAATTCAGAGTTTGCAGAATTACAATATAAACTCATAATTATAAGATATTAACTCAGATTTGCAAGTCAGAATTGTGAGATATAAACGAAGCACAATCACTAGATGTAAACTAAGAATTCAGAGGGGGAAAAAAGTACGAATTGTAAACATGCAAAGTCAAAATTCTAATTCTAAAAAAATTATAATTCACAATTCTGACTTTTTTCGAAATTGTGAGATAAAAAGCCACAATTACCTTTCTTAATTTCCTTTACAAAACAGTTTATACACTAAAAAAATGGTGTAGAAACTATTTGAACTCCGAAAACTCTAAATTGTAACTAACTCTAACTCTAACTCTAACTAAATTTCTCAAACAATTACAAAGAAAAGGCAACTATTTTATTGAATTAGATATGATATATTTAAGTAAACGTAAACTGAAATAATATTTTATTTTAAACCAAGTAATCTTGGTTTTATTTAAAACTTTGCAGTGTAGAGACAACAGCAAGAAAAAAAAAAGTCATGCAAATCACTCATGCACTGTATTCAAAGGCTTTTGAAATCAATCATATGATGCTTTTTGTGAGGAACAGACCCCAATTTATTGATCAACATTCAGTTTGAATATGCAGAAATGAGATTAGAAATCAGCAGTAGAAGGGAATTGAATAACGAATGTCAAGTGAAAAGTATTTCCGAACTCCTGCGTTTGTTTCTATAAGTCGCACTCCATCTGTGTTTGAGCGCAGGAACGCATCTGGTGTGAACGGGCCCTCGTTAGTTTGCACAGCTCTGTGTTTGTGTACATGACGCAGTCGAGGACACACGACTCATAATCAACCTTCTTTCCACAACATGTGTCGTGTGCTTGTTTGTGTGTTGGTTGTTGATGAAGAGAACGATACGTTTAAATTTTTTGCATATAAATGCATATAAAAAAACACAGATATAAAGTTTTATTTCTTATGCACAGATGCTTGAAGCGTCTACAGAAACAGCCATCCGAGAGCGGCAATGCTGCTATGGGTCCATTCACAATCACCTCCTCTTTTCTCAGCCAGGAGGGGAGAGAGATGAACTAATTCGATGACAAGAATTACTCAGTGGTAAAAACACGGGTTTGTTTTATTCTCCTGTCAGGTTGGACATAAAGGGATCCGTTGCCCGAGCAACAGCATTAATGGCCTTCTCTTTGGGTGTATAACAAATATATATACATTTACAGAATCACAGAGGGCTTTGTAAGGTTTATAAAGGTCAAGTCGGTGTATTATGGATGTTTAAATCCCTGAGTCATGCTTGATGAACCTGCAGTGACGGGTCGTTAGTATGCATATTAACACACATTCTGACTCAGTCCGGCTGACACAACTGTGCACATCAACATCTGCTCCAAAACTCATTTACAAAGAGATGCAATATTTATTTTCACAACACTTTTAATTAACTTTAATTATTGCTCAGTAGAAGTGCTATTTTTTTCAGAATAGGAAATTGTTAGTGGTGTTTGCCAAGTCAGACATCACTGTACATCATTGGTTTAGTGATCATATCATACAGTAGCTCTCATATCATATATAACATCATACATCATTCATAACATGCGTTGCATATAATCATACATTTATCATTATAACAGTATAACATGCGTTGCATATAATCATACATCACATCTCATACATCTATCATTTCTCATACATTATGCATCATATACTGTATCTCAAATATCATGCATCATATACATCATATGTCTCATATTTCATATATCTCATACATCATATATCATTTCTCATACATTCTATCTCATACATAATATATATAATTTCTCATACATCATATCTCATATGTCAAACATTATATCTCATACATCACATCTCATTTATGATATCTCGTACATGAGTTCTCATACATGAAATATCTACTTTCTCAAACATTATATCTCATACATCATATCTCATATTATATCTCATACATCATATCACATCTCATTACATCATATCTCATACATTAAATATCTAATTTCTCACAACATATCTCACATCATAAATCATCTTATATTTATCATCATCTCATACATCATATAATTTCTCATCATATCTCATACATTAAATCTCTCATATCTCATACATCATATATCTAATTTCTCATTCATTATATCTCATACATCATTTCTCTTACATCAAATATCTAATTTCTCATACAACATATCTCACATCATAAATCAACTCATATTTATTGTCATCTCATACATCATATAATTTCTCATCATATCTAATTCATCAGAAATCTAATTTCTCATATCTCATATCATGCATCACATCTCACTTTTCATACATTATATCTCATATGACAAATATCTAATTTCTCATACATAAATGATCTCATTTATTATATCATCTCATACATAATATAATTTCTCATACATCATACATCATCTCATACATCACATATCTAATTTTTCATACATTATATCTCATACATTGAATATTTAATTTCTCTTACATTGTATCTCATAAATCATATTTCATACATCAAATATCTGATTTCTCATACACATCTCATACATCATATCCCACATCTCATTTCTCATATCATACATCATCTAATACATCAAATATCTAATTTCTCATACATCAAATATCTCATGCATCTAATATCTCATTTCTCATAAATCATATCTCATACATCAAATATCTCATTTATCCTACATATCTCATACATCATATATTTCTCATACATCAAATCTCATACATCAAATATCTCATTTCTCATACATCAAATATCTCATGCATCTAATATCTAATTTTTCATAAATCATATCTCATACATCATATATTTCTCATACATCAAATCTCATACATCAAATATCTCATGCATCTAATATCTAATTTCTCATAAATCATATCTCATACATCAAATATCTCATTTACAGTATCCTACATATCTCATAAATCATATATTTCTCACACATCAAATATCTAATTTATCCCACATGTCTCATACATCATATATTTCTCATAAATCATATCTCATACATCAAATATCTTATTTCTCATACATCA